AGTTTATTTATCAAAAAAAGTTACAATATCGGTAATGGTAGGTATACAATTGAGATTGATAAATAAAACAGGCATTAGCACAGAAGCAAAGTTAAATTGCTTGTTAGTGCTGTTTCACATAAAAAACATTCCTTATAAATATATTTCATCTCACATTAAGTATTGAAAGTCACATTCAGCGGTTTTTTTTCACTTCAAATATATTAGGTATAATATTTTGGATAAAGCGTTACATTCTGGATATATTGTCACATTCTGGATATATAGTCACATTTTGGATTTATTGTCAGAGATCAGAAAAAATTGTCACACAAACGGATTATCTAAATTTCACACTTTTGTAATATTTATTTTTTTTGTCTCTTTCCGATTCATATAAACTCAATTTTATAAATATACATTATATTAGAACAAGTAATAATAATATACTGTTTATTCACTACTACTTATTTAAAAACTATCGAGAAATAGACTGGAATACTCTCCAAACAGTCAAGCATGATATATCAGCTGAGGAGTTTTTAGATGGTTTCAAAGAAACAAATGCTTACCAATTAGTGAACTTTCACACTAGAATAAGAGGATACCAACAATCGCTACTAGACCTGATATTGGTAAGTGAAAAGAACTTAATATTTAATATCAAAAGTAACTATCCGATTGGACGCAGTGATCATGTAGTAATCACTGGCACATCCCAAATAAAGGCAAAAGGAAAGGAGACTTTTAAAAGAAAAACAAGAAACTTCTGGAAGGCAGACTACGACGCAATCAACAACCACTTGCATAATCAAGACTTTGATAACAAAAACACTAACTTGACCAAATATGAACACTGTGAAAACATCATCAAAACAACCATTGATAAATTCATACCACTAAAATCCACAAGGAAAAACTCCCAGAAGCCATGGATAAATGAGGCCATATTCAAGCAAATTGACAAAAAACGTACATTCTGGGATAGGTATAGACAAAACACTACAGATGAGAACTATCAGTTGTACAGATTACAGAGTAACAAATTAAAAAATACAATAGCTGAAGCAAAATTATTTTATGAACATAGAATAATACAATCAAAATCGAACAAACAATTCTGCAAGTACGTGTCTAAAAGTCTAAACTCAAAAATGTCAACAATCACATTAAAGGATGACGACACTAACAACATTATAACCAGCAATGAGGATACATCGGAAAAGTTTGCCAAACAATTTATGAACATGTTTACACAAGAGAATGACCAGATTCCAGTTTTGCCTGTTAGCACTAGAAACGTTAGTTCGCTGAACACCATTAAATTCACACCATTAAAGGTGGAAAACGCTATTCTAAGCCTGAAAACTGAATCAAGTCCTGGACTGGATGAAATTCCGTCCATTTTTCTAAATAAATGTGTAAAAAGTTTAGCTTCACCACTAAGTCATGCTATGAATGAATCTATGACCTCGGGGACTTTGCCAGCCAGCTGGAAGCAGGTTATTATAACACCAATATACAAAAAGGGTGACAGATTTAAACCAGAAAACTACAGGCCAGTAAGCTTAACAAGCCCTGTTTGTAAGGTTATGGAGAAAATCATAGTGAAGGAACTGGATGAATTCTCAAAGTTAAATGATGTTATACCTGATTCGCAGGACGGCTTTCAGAAGAAGAAATCGACAACAACCAACATGCTAAGATGTTTAAACGACTGGACTACAAACCCTGATAAGAACATACAAACAGATATTGGGTCCTATGATTGAACGTTTATGTTATCCCTAACGTACATGTTAGACCGAGTTTTAACAGTAACGATGCAAGTTCGTATGATAGAAAGTTCTTCATAACAGATTACTGTTATTTCCTTCCTGTTATGTTCTAATTTAACATATCTCCTCAACAGCCCCGAATAACATGCCGTTAAGTGCTTAGCGTTCATGTTACCAATGTTTTTTTTATTTTTTTAAAGATCCTATTTTGAATGACGGGGTAATTAAATTATATAATACAAGAAGAGAATCAAACTAGGAGGTACCTAGGTTATAAACTTCATTATTATTTTATGTTAATTAATTATGAGGTATAGAACTTTGATATTAATTCACTATTTTAGGACTGAATTGAACACTCAAAGAAGGCAAATACCAGAGATCAATTGAAACTCCTGATAAGGTTTTATTATTAAATATACTAGACCTCCAAAAGAATCGGTGCAGTTTATATTTGCAAGAATAAGGACCCATTTTAATATTCCTCAAAGACCAAGGATTTCATCCATTCCAGTTGAACTGAAGGTCTAAATTCTAAAAGTTTATTCTGAATTCTTAGTATAGTTGAAACTGTTTTTCACTCTCTGTCCATTTCTCAGAGGTGTTTTCTCGCGTCTCGAATTTTTAAATTTTTTTTCAAAACTGGTTTGAAACAGTTTCCCAATGAGGTCATAACTTCTCGGCGCTGGAAAATGGTTCAAAAACATGGATTGGATTGTATTTCGGCACGGTTTGAACCAATTTTATATGACGTCATGGGTTCATCGCGAAAATATAGTCTGTTTTTTTTTAAAGATAATTCCCTAAGTCAAAAATTTAGTTTTAGTAGGTACAGTCATTTTGAAAGTTTGCTAAGCATTTGATCTTGTACAGCAACGCCGTTAATGTTCAGCAACATTACACAGGGTGCCTCAAAATTAGAGGTTAATATTTTAACTGCGGATTTTACATCTCAAATTAAGAGCAAAAATTCCTATAAACATGGATCCAAGAGTACCCTAATTCAGAAATACAGGCTGTTAAAAAAGCTATAGTCCTGAATAATGAATGAAAATAAACCGTACTATTCCCTTTTTAAACCACTACTACGAAAAGTGGATTAACGAAGTACTTACCACTCTTATACCAATATCACAACAAGAAACAATAATACACAAGAGCTATTCCGGAATTAATCACAGCTTCAAGTAGCAAGAGGAACACGACTTTGAATTTTGAATCCAATAGCCGGGATCCACGATAAATCCCGGCGGTCGTTGATGGAGTCATCGAAAACGCGTCATAACCGGGATTTGTATGAATACCGGTGCCGGGAGGCTAGACACAGCGTAATTATTAACATCTTGTATAGCAAAAGCCGGGATCCACGACAGTTACCGGTGGTTGTTGATGACGTCATTTAAAACGCGCCATAACCGGGATTCGTATGAATACCGGTGCCGGGAGGCTAGACAGCGAAAATAAAATAATCCCGCCTCCGTGGTTGCCACGCTTTTCCCTCTCGTAAATCTGGCAACCCATTATCTACCTGGACTATGAGAAAGCCTTTGACAAGGTGCCTTTCAAAAGGCTTCTCTATAAATTGAGCCATTTTGGAGTAAGAGGCGGTCTACACACCTGGATAAGAAAATTTATACAAAGCCGAGTGTTTAAAGTGAGAGTCAACGAAGTCTGCTCTTCTTTCCACGACGTAATTAGTGGGGTCCCGCAGGGCTCTGTGCTGGGACCTCTCCTGTTTCTGCTGTATGTTAGTGACCTGGCTGAGAACATAAAGACAAACATCACATTTTTGCAGACGACACCAAACTGTACTGTGATGCACTGACGCAATATTCGGACATGAAAGACGATCTGCCTGAAATACAAACATGGTCTGAAAGATGGCAGATGAAACTCAATGCTGACAAATTTGTGGTGCTGTCTGTGGGTGCTGAAAATCCAGGAAATGAATATATCCTAAATGACTGTTTGCTGCAGCACGTCAACTCGCAAAAGGATTTGGGCATTATAGTATCCAGTGACCTGAAATGGGAAAAACACATCACCTCAATTGTGAAAAAAGCCAACTCTTTCACATACCTTGCAAGAATAGCTTTCGGCAATACTAGTCCCCAGATGATATTACAGCTATACAAAACGTACATAAGGCCCAAGATTGAATATGCCCACTCAGTGTGGAGCCCTTATTATATAAAGGATAGAAATTTGTTGGAGGGAGTGCAACGAAGATTCAGCAAGATTTCACAGCAGTTTCGCCACACCCCATACGAGGATAGAATGAGGCAGCTCGGGCTAACATCTTTAGAAGAGAGAAGAACAAGAGGGGATCTGATTGAGACTTTCAAAATTTTGAACAATTACTATGACAGCAACATGCAGGAAATTTTCTCACTAAACTTAAGCCCGCATCTCCGAGAACACTCTAAAAAACTGAACAAAGAGAGAGCCAATAAACTGCTCAGCAATGGAAGAGATCAATGGTGTTTTGTGCATTATGTACCATAAAAAAAAATAAAGGAAAAAAAAATAAAGAAATAATGAAGAGAAAAAAATGAAAAAGAAAACCAAGAGCAAAGTCTAAATTTCGACCTAGCCCGTGAACGGACTCATCGGTTTCAACCGCTTTCCGTTTTAATAAATAAATAAATAAATGAAACTTTCCTGTATAGCAATACCCTGTAAAAATATAGTATTTTCGCGTTTTTGACAGTTAAAATTATTAAAGCTATAGAGTGTTACATATCGTTACGATCGCAAAAAAACATCTGGTGTAAAAATATATGGGGTGTCTCATTCAAAAAAGTTAAAATTTGGACTATATCTCAAAAAATAATATACCCTTAAAAAAACCCGAGTAAGCCACTGGATTCTACGTGAAAAATCACACTTAAAAACGTAATTTAACATTTAAAAAAAAAATTGATAACAACTGAGATACACAGCTATTTTCCAAAAAACTCCTGTATATCGAAAACAAATGATTTGAATGAAGTCCGAAAAATTCTGAGTGGTCCATTAAACTATACTCAAAAAACTAGATCGCAACACGTAAGTATAATATATTTTTTGTATCTATCACCGTTTAGGCTGTACCCGGCATTCCCACCCAAAATGACTCACCCTGTAGGTATGTACGTAGGCATACACAGAGAGTGAGGATATTTTATGCCAATCAGTTTTCTCAGGCTTACTAATTAGGCGTAAGCGAATATTAATTTCTGTTAGGTAAAATAAAATAAAACACAAAAAGGAAACTGATCTTATTAATTTTAAAACTCCATCCTGACGGTTCTGACTGAGTTAGATCGAATTTATGGTAAATAAAAAATTATTTTTAAATCATAATTGAATTAAATTGTACGTGATAGGTAATCAACATTCTTGTATAGGTGGGAATAATTTATTAACACTAGATTCACAAATAAGCGTATTTGCCTTGTACTCTTCAATGTGCTGATAAAATACTGCTATTGACCTAGGATTCAGCAGCTGGAAAGCAATAATTTCAATTAAAAAATAATTTAGGAAACTGCAAAGTACTCACTCCCAGCCACCACCGTAACCACCAGAAGCGTATCCACCTCCATAACCACCTCCATAGCCATATCCAGAGTTGTACACATGAACTACGTGAACTGGAGCAGAATATCCGCCGCCATATCCATATCCACCGCCATATCCATAACCACCTTCGTATCCGCCTCCGTATCCACCACCGTATCCGCCTCCGTATCCACCCCCGTAACCACCTCCATGTCCTCCTCTGTAACAAAATAATGGTGAAAATTACGAGCTCATTGTACTATAATTTTTCATTATTTTATAATTTTAATCTTTTCAACTTTCCTTTGTTTGTGGGCATAGAATAAAAAGGTTGACCTTTTGAACATTGAAAAATAAGAAAACATTCTCCTTATTATATATTGAATATTAACTAGGTAGGTATCTTCTGTAACTGCTATATGCGTTAATAAAGATTTGATTGATTTTTTTTTGTGTGTGGTTTCCAATATAATTAGAATAATAATGCCAATATCGACCAATTGTATGTGCTTCTCGCTATGGATTGAAGTTTTAAACTTCCCACTTCGATGATTCCGTAATCAAGGCAGGATAGTCAATAATTTTTTTTGGTCAATACCTATAGGTCCCTTTTATGTAATTTGTTTTTTAAAATTATCCCTTTGTACCTGTTCGTTTTTTCTTTTTATCGCTATATTTAGCGATTGCTATTGCTTGTTTAATTATAATCATTTAGCCTGATGTTTTGTTCTATTATTCAGCTCATAATATTTTTATTGTTGACCTGAAGAGTTATACAAAATAAACATCGAAACTTCCGCAAGATTCAAATAAATTATCAATAATAATAGTCCAAAAAAATTGTAATTTCTTCAAAGTAATGAATTAGACAAAGGTACTTGAACAAAATCATCAAAATTGTTATAATTCTCAAATGAATGATTTTTTACTTACAAGCTTTTGCCTATTACTCCACCGATTACTGCTCCCTTCACAAAGCCAATTTTAGCACCAATAGCTCCAGCTCCAAGAAGTCCCAAAGCTGTAAGACCCAGAGGGCTCCTCTTTTGACGAGCTACTTCAGGCGCGTAGACTGAAGCAGCATTGGCGATATAGATGAAACAAGCGAAAGCAACTAACAAAGAAATCTTCATTTTGATTAGGTAATATGATTTGGTCAAAATGATACTGAATCTCCCGAGCGCTGCGACTTACCTTTATATAGTTTAGTTTCAAAGAAGTCTTCGAGATTGGTCTCAAAGCGTCTGTCAGTAGAAGGTCGTCCAAATTATCATAGTCAAATTTACTTGATTTGCGGATTTTCTATGACGATTAAATTTTTTAGGAAATTTTGAATGTCTGGGATTCTGTTTCATAATGTGTTAATTTATTTCGACGACAAAACTGAAGGACAACCGTACCATCCCATTCAGAGACTTAAAAAAGGTTTGTTTATCAACGATGATCATAGGAAACGGATCTGACGTTTCGTTTTAATTTTTGCTTTCAATTTGTTAAAATCTTAAACATTTTCAATTTTTATTGCAAGTTAAATAACCAGGTCTTATTTAGATTTAAAGTGCCAAACCTAGAATTGTAATAATTTATTGGACAAAATATTGATAAATAATTTAAAAAAAAAGATATTCTTTGTCAGGATTGTTGATGCGTTTAGTAATCCAGAAACTATTGAAATAAGCGTTCCCCAGGGAACAGTCCTTGGACCCATGGACCATGCATACTAATTTTGCTTTATATTAATTCATTATTATCTCTTATTACTGACGTTGGCATTTTGATTTTTCGGAGAGGAATGTATGTTAACGCACTGCAAAAGCTGAATGTAGTTCAAAATAGTGCTTGTTTTAAAAAAAAAAAAAATATTTTGTTCTTAACATTGATCATTTATACCCATTGTATCTATAGTGTAGAATTTAAAAAAAAATTTGAAAAAAAAAATTTAAAATTTGTAATTTAGTTTAAATTATCAATTATCACATAGCAATGGAATATTGATTTTTATTATTATACAAAACATCCAGCGTTTCAACTAGCAAAAATGAGAAGTATATTCAGCCTAAATATACCAGAAATTGGTACTTACAAGGGGTTTTATATTAAAATTACCTAAAATTAGGAGATTTCCTTTACATATAATAATTTGTATTCACGTGAAAAACGCCAAAGCTATAACAGACAGGCAAGTCAATACAAACATCTACAAAGACCTAAAAAAATTAAAATACTGAGGTAATCGAGAATACAATCAGAGACGACAGAAGCATGAAAGTTCAGAGACCCAAACTATCAAACGGAAGGCTTAGAAATGATCACGATGAGAAACCAAGATGGTATTATAGTTAGAAACTGAAACTAAAAAATAGCTGTTGATCAAAGTTTCCACAAAATCCGTGCAAGCAGATAATCAATAATAAACAAAAAAAAAAAAAAATACAAAATGGACGAGCGCAAGAAGTTGCGCCAGAATACATACAGGCAATGGGAGGCAAGGTGTTGTTGGACTCCATTAGAGGCTGTGCGAGCTCGTTTAAACAAATATTCAGTGTGGAAAAAGATTTCAAACAATTAGCAAAATGCAGAACCCATTACGTTATACAAGAAAGGAGATAAACATCATAGAAAACTATCATTCTATAAGCCATCATCTCAATCACATAAGGTGTTGACTGTTGACAAAAATAATACCGCACCGTTTGACCAACAAAACGGACTCTTTCTAACTAATTAAACGATTTGGTATCTAGTACCGACCACAATGCCACCAAAATTATTTACGCTAACACTGGAGGATATCGTCAAAAAATTAAACTAGCAAAAAACGGCATCAATGTTGATGAGCTGCCTCCAACTCACTTACGAATTGTAGACGACATTGTGATCATCGCCAGTGCAAGCGAAAAGCTAGAAAACGTACTTGAAGAACATTATCGAGCATCTCTGCAAATTGTACTTGAAATGCACCTCTCCAAAAGAAAGACGAGAGCCTACAGAAAAAAACAGACAACTGTTAACGATCATCTCACTCTCCTATTCATCTTAAGCGGAAAGCATTTGAGTCCTTTGTACTGCGAGTCCTCATATTATATGGACTTGAGACTCTAGGGTTACTCGAAAATTGTCCAATAAACTGCAAATCAGTAAATCACAATACGCGGAATGGGACAGGGCCATCATGTTTGGAATTGATTTGAGAGACAGGTTTCGCGAGAGGACTGGGGTGACGGATGTGCTAAAGGTTGTGGCACAAATAATGAAGTGGAGGTGAGCTGGCCGTATAGCGTGGCATCAACCTCAGAGATGATAGTGGGTTGATATGCACCTACATAAATATGGCACAAGTGAATTAGATCTAAATTGCTGAAAATAGGGTGCTTTGAGGAATTTGGTAGAGACTTTCATCCAGAAGTAAATGACTATACGCCGAAAAGAAGAAGAAAATTCAAACGAGGTTTTATCTGTATAAAAGATCGCCCATGTTCATGCCTAGCTACGATCGGCGTTATTTAGCTTGGGGTTGTTCTGAGATACCTTGGCAGTTCTCAAAGGGCGCCACTGGACTGTAGAAAAAGCAATTTGAATGATGATGTTTTTGACAGATCAGGTACTATGCAAAATATTTATAGGTCCGAGAATTGAAAAGATAGGTAACAGATAGGTAGTATAATTAGAAATCTGACAACTGAACTCAGCTCATTTCTTGACTATAAACTTTTCCAAATTATAAAAGTTATAAAATTTTATTCAGGCCATACCCATCAGCTGTTCCGAGAGAGATAAATTTAATAACAGCTAGATATGTTAAACACTACAAATAGTAAATAAAGACAAGGCGAAATAAATTATAACTATTTTCAAGAACTCTTCACAGTAACAGTAACGTAGATATCAGGGCAATTTTCCATACAGGCCTGCCTCGTCGAAAACCTGGTGCAGCACAGACGCGGTGACCACAGCCGCGGAGACAATGCTGGCTGTTTCAAAAGGGGCCACGCTATGAAAAATTTGCGACGCTCTGGCGCTCCGAGATTGCGGTTGTGAATCTCGCAAGGCCACACTCTGGGAAAATGGCCAGACTCGGTATGTGGCTTTCAGGGGCCTTGCAAAGGTAGTACCTTTCGTTAAACGAAATCACCAAAGGATGGCCGTAAGCTTGCCGTAAGCGAATCACCAAAGGGCATCAATGAGCGGGTCACCAAAATTTGATCGAGTCATCCAAAAATTATGAAAAAATTTAAAAGTTGAATTATGTAACAGTAATGATATCGCTTAAATAATAATATCCGTTTTAGCCGTCATTGTTTATATTAATGAGTGGGTAACAGGTTCTGAGCAAAAGTGATAAAAAAAATAATCGTTTATATGATAAATAGGTAATCAATTTTGGAGGCGACCAGTGAAGAATCGTGGAAAAAAGAACTACGAATCTAAATGACAAAACAAATATTTATATCAAATATGCATTGCTTGAAGTAGATTGCACCATTACACCAATAAATGTTTTGAAAAAATATATAAACAATGGGAGTTTCTTGGGGTATCGGTTGTTGTGACGGCTAGGAAAGAAAACTGTCAAAAAAAGTGTCAGACAAGTAATTCTGGGAAAAATTGTTATTTCTATTTTTTAACTTTTCTTGTTTTACTCCCTAAAACCACACTTGAACCCATTTCCAAGTCGAGTGAGATGCATTGAAATGTGCCTATGGTGCCTAGGCACAGTTTTTAGTACATTTCGTTGTGGAGAAAATGTCGCAAGACAAGTAATTCTGGGAGAAATTGATATGTACGGTTTTTCCATTTTCTTGTTCTACCCCCCAAAACCACCCTTGGACCCATTTACAAGTCAAGTAAGGTGCCCTGAAATGTGCCTATGGAGCCTAGGCAAAGTTTCCAATAGATCTGGTTCCGAAGAAAATGTCGCAAGACACCTAGTTCTGTGAAAAATTGATATTTGCAGTTTTTCAATTTTCTTGTTTTAACCCCTAAAACTGCCCTTGGACCCATTGACAAGTCAAGTAAGTTGCTCAGAAATGTGCCTATGGTGTCTAGGCATAGTTTCAAATACATCTGGTTGTGAAAAAAATGTCGCAAGACACGTAATTCTGGGAAAAATTGATATTTCTAGTTTTTCGATTTTCTTGCTTTACCCCCTAAAGCCACCCTTGGACCCATTTGGAAGTCCAGCAAGGTGCAGTGAAATGTTTTAGGGTGTCTGGTAACAGATTTCAATTCATTTGGTTGTGAAGAAAATGTCGCAAGAGACGTAGTTCTGGGAAAAATTGATAGCAAGTCCCAGTTGCTATTGGATCTCTAGGATCTTCTGTGGCCCAGTTTCTCGTTGATGGGCTTCCATTTCATTAGCAAATCTAGGAAGTAGATCTGCCTAATTTGTGCCTGCTCTAGTGATACTGTTACCTAAGTTAAATTGAAAAGTAAACCGTATGCCAATCCTACCTCGCTTTCCACAATACAAAAATTTTACAGATCTATTTTATTTTACTCTGAATAGATTAGTAATTTTATTTAGGTACAATCAACTTTAATTAGGCTTTTTTTTTATATTCTTTAAAGCAACAAGTAAAACTAGAAATTGAGTTAAAATATTTGCTAGATTTATAATTTTTTCGAAAATTTTTTTATTTCAAATTCACGACATTTTTTGCCTGCTGCAGGCTGCAGTGGGTACTAATTAAATATTAGTTTATTGAAAACTTGTTAAGTAGCTTTGTTACATTTATTAATAGAAATGCTAATAAAGATGAATTGGTTAACAAAGAAAACAAGAATTTAACAATTTGCCAAAGTTTTTGGAATGAAATCAAAAACTCACTCAAAGTCTCAAGTATCTATTGAATAGGTAACACGAGTTTCATCCTTCTAGGGCATAATCAGACTTACTGTGAATAACATGAGGAAAAAAAACAATATTAGTACCCATTTGTGGGAACAAACCGGAACCAGTTACCAAAAAAAGGCAAAATGTCAAACTTTTTGAAAAAATCATCCTTTTCATTAGGTAACTTCATGTTCAAGCAAGAGAACTGTACAAATGGCAACAATAAGGTCATAGTGAAGTACAGTTATTGCAGTTTGGAGTCTATATGGTGTTGAGCTCTCCTCCTGGAACCGAAATGGTTGAAGTCAGCATATTTTGCTGTTGGTTTGTACAGAACAAGAAACTTGGAGCACCTATCGACTACTCAACATCATCAGACAATATAAGCAGTCAATAATGGGTTTTCAGATTTGTCAGTAAGGTACATAAATAAGATTTATTATAAATTGATAAGAGTAGTAGGAACTCAGTAAACATCGAATATTTAGTCTTTTGGAAATAAACAAGCTAATTTTTTTGATCTCTTCTACCTATGAAACTATCAATAACCGTAGTATAGGTACACACACATTGTAAGGACTAAAGATTTCACTTATATTC